ATAATTGAATTATAATTATAAGCATTTGAATCTAATTATAATAAAAACTTTATTGCATTAATATATCAAAACTATTAGAAAACATATGGCTGTTGGTACACATATATATGCTTTTAGATTTATCTGCTAGAAAAAGAAGCCCTCCCCCCATTGCTATGTATAAAAAAGTAAAGTATAAAAATAGAAGATTTTCATTAGTTGAATAGCACAGTGCTGTATTTTGAGTTCTGACCCTCAAGGCACCCTACATCTCTGTTCTTTCTCTGTCTTTTACTGACAAGCAAATTAGCTCTGCATATCTAGAAAATAGCTTGCATAATGCAATCCTGATGCTGCATTTTCTCTTCTTCATCATACCAGTTTTCTGGTTTAGCCCATACTTTACTGTGCATTTCTAAAACGGCTTGGCTACTCTGCCAGCTCCATTCCAGGGTTTGCAGGATTTATATTTGTTTATTTCTGTAAATGGGCTATAGAGAGAGCCTAAGGTAGAGAGAGCCTAAGTTAATACCAATAAACAGTGATGTGGTAAACTTTCAGCTTTCCTAAATGTTTAACTTTGTACAAATCGTAGCCTTTCAAGTGATGTCTCAGAAGTATCAAAGACCTTCACAAAGTGTTAATAATTATCATACTGCTTTAGAGGAAGAAAAGAAAGACCACACACCAAAAACAAAGCACAGTGAAAGGTTCCTGATACACAGGTCTGAAAATCTCATTTGTTCCATTCAGGGAGGGAATAGTCAATCACATGCCACTGTATAATTATAGATCTTGTGGGTTCACGATGTCTGTGTCCTTTTCTTAAAGTATTTTCCTTTTTATTTCAGAAATAAGTAGAAAAACTGATCCAGTTGGGTTTCTGGGTCACCCTAGACTGTAGAGTATCTCCATTCTCCTCTTTTCAAGCTTCTTGTGAAAACAAATTAGTTCTGGCACTAATGGTTATGCAGATGTGTAGCTTAAGAGGAGATCTGCCTTCACTGTTGAAAAAGTTCAGAAGTAGGTCAAAAATAAGGTCCAGCAGTCTCATCCTGTTAGGCACTGGATGCAGCTCCTGATGCTCTGACTCCCCTCAAATTCAGTGCAGGTGGATGGAAGCAGAACAGAAGCAGTATCAGTGAGGTCAGGCACTGCAGAACTTGCTTGTGTGCTTCTTGTGATATCATCAAGATCTCAGATGTGTGCTTTAAAATCTTTATTCTCACACTGGTTAACAGTGATTTTTGTTTTTCCACAACTGGGCTTCTGCAAGTCTGACAGGAAAGCAATACCCCCAGATTTCATTTAAATGCCTTTTCCCATATATAGTAGGGCTTGGGATTCAAAGGAATTCATTCAGCATGCTCTCCTAATGCCATTTAACTTCCCGTGAAAAAACAGTAACAGGAAGAGTTGTTTCAATTAGCACGAGCTGTGCAACAGCTAATGTATTCCACCTCTTCATTGTTGTAAAAGGAGCAGATTTCTTGGTAGCATGAAGCAAGCAGAGAAGAGGGGTTGTGTTCTGCTCTCCGTATGCGCACACAGCCCCATTCACGGGGAAGGTGTGAACGGGAGGTGATTTGTAGCCGCCTGCCATTGGTACAGCACAAGCTTCTGTTGTTCTCCAGGCTGAAGAGAAACCCAGATCCCCTCTTCAAACCTACTGCAGTGCGACAGGTACGCAGCAGCCTTTGGGGAGTTTTGTTATTAATTTCAACAATAAGATTGCAAAGAAAACTTTTTTTTTAATATACATTTGAAAAAAGAAGAGCTGGATGTCATGCTGGAAAAAAAGCACCATGACTTCCCTAGACATATGATTTTTCTTGATCAGAAGTCCCAAGGAAGCCACAATTTAGAGAAACCTTTGAAAGTACACCTCTTTTCCCTCTGTCTGGTCAGCCTTAAACTGGCACTGGACCAGAGCTTCAACTCCCAGTGCCCCCCTGCTCCAAACTGGGCTCAGCACTGTGCTCTGCCATGGAGACTGGAAGCACACATTGAACCCCCTGCTCCAGTGCTCCTTGAGATACACTCCAGTCTGCACAGTTGAACATGAGGGTGAGGAGCTGCTGGCACACTATATGGCATACCAGGGCTCTTGTTTTGGTTCGGGCGATGGTGATGAAGCGATGTGGCCTGTTGAACAGATGGTGAGGGTCAATGATTTCTTGACCTCCTCCAGCTCATGAGTGTGTCAGTGCAAGCTGTAAAGCAAAGCCCACAATTAGATGACATTTCCTTGGAAATGAGGTTCAAGCAGTGAGTGATGTTACAGAGGCTGTACTTCATCAAGTAATTGCTCAAGAGAAGATTGACCCAGTAACAAAAAGCAAAGCGGGATGCACCAGGCCATGCAAAGGTGAGGAGCATCTCAGGGGCTTCCAGCCATGAAGCCAGACCGTGTCCACTGGAAACTGCCTTGCAGTGGGAAGTGAGAAGCTGCATTGAAAATTCTTGATCAAAAGGCTCTTGTTAAAATAAAAACAGAGTGGGAGAGAAGTGATGCCAACAGGAGAAAGAAACAACTATTTCTTTTAATGAAAAAAATAACTGTAGGGCCAAAAGATTTAAATGGTCCAACAAAAGAAACAATTAAGGAAAAAAGAAGAGTGTCCAAAGCAAATCAAACTTGATGTGATTTTAACTTGCCTGAACTTGTTCAGTGCAGGGGACTTGTGTTTGCTAGTGAAAGGAAACTTTGCAGAGATGGCTTGGCCAAAAGCAGTGGCTATTGCTGAGAAAATAGCAGTAGAGTAGCTAGGAGCTGCTTATCTCTCATATGTCTAAAACAGAGAAAGCTTGTCTCTCGGAGAGAAGAAAAATCTAGTAATACAATAATGAGGTAAGGCTCTGTATGTTATTTTTCCTTTGCAAAATGCTTTATAAAAGTTGACTATTAAATATGCACAGCCTCTGAGTTGGGAGCTAAGACAGACTGCCTCATTTTCTCCTGCCTGTGTTTTCCCATGGGCAAGGTAAAAGCACACTGACAATACACAATCTCCTCTGAATATTTTGCCTGTGCTAGTGATAAATATAAATATAAAACCACCTCAGACTTTATTTATTGACCTCATCTGTCCAGGAGGTGTTCAGTTTGACTTTTTTCAGCTGTTGGACTCTGTTCCCTTGCACATAAGCCAGCACAAGATCACTCACAGGAACCATCTCTCTGATTTCAAGAGCACCAGTGGAGTGGGGTGATGAGCTGCAGAGCAGGGTTTGTGTTCAGGGCTTTCACTGACAACACACAGGCTCCTCGGCCAAATGAAGACCTAAGCTTTAGTCAATCAAAGTATCGGAGCATGCAGATCTTGCACATACATAACAACAAAAATATTTCTGTAAGTTATTTTACTCATTTAAAATTAAGTATGAATAACTTCAAGAACCCTGTCCAAAAATATATGAGTGTCTTCCTTAGAATTACACCATGGGAGTCACCAAGGGCTAGTTTGTGTCCACTTTGTTGCTTTGTGGGATGTAATGACAGAAATCCTCAACAGCTTGGTCCATTGTAGTGCTGCAGAACTACAGTCATTTTCTCTGTTCTGCTGCACCAGCTGGGGGTCCAAGTTGGAGCCTTTCAACAAATAATACTCAGACAAATTAAATCTCAGTGTCTAATTATCATCTTGTAAGAAGAGTTACAGACCTTTATAAGTGTGTGTGTGTGTGTGTGTGTATTATATATACATTCTGCTATACAGAATGCAAAGATGTGAAAGACTGATCCAGATTAGCTATTAGTACTTCCTTGTAGATTTTGGAAATTTGTACTGCCTTTTTTGTTTCTTATGCACTTTCCTTTAGTGCATAAAAACTCCATCTTGTCAGTTGTAGAGGAAAATTTGTTCAGAAAAAAATCCCCACCAAAAATCCAGGCACCCTCATGGCAGGTGCTGGGACCTGCGGGGAGACCCCGTCCTCTCAGCAGGATTCTGCACAGACATAGAGTTTTGCCAGTGCAGGACTGATTGAGGGACTGGGGGATGGACACACAAACCACTATAGCAGCATCCCCCAGAGAAGACACTGGTGATAAACAGCAGTGAGTGTGTGTTTGTGTGTGCATGGGGCAAGAAGGGTTATTTTGTGCTGGATCTTTCGCCACAGGGATGAGGAGTCAAGTGAGAAGAGAGGTGGGCAGAGATGTCAAAAGGTGTAGAGCTGTGTTGACAGGGTCACCCAGTATTTGCATATATACCTCTCATTTGGATAATTCTCATCAGCTAGTCATTTGAGAAGGCATTTTTTCTACACCTCTGTGCAACATAGGTCCTGTGGTGAGGGAATTGGAGCCCAGGATGAGAATTCCTCTGTGCCAAGGCTCTGCCTGGCCACCTGGAGGGACCTTTTCCATGGTCCTCTAAATGGAGTTTGGAAGATAAGCACCATATCTTAGCAGAAGTGCTTTGGGAAAATACATTAGAAGTAATAACTGTGCCACTTTGAGGGATAAGGACTTTTTTATAGTAATACAGCTTTTCCCAATGTGTAGATACCATTTCTGCTGTTTTTAGCATGGGCTGTTCTCATTTTTCTTGTCACAAAGGTAGGAAATGCATTTGGAGTCAGCCGGCTCCAGCTAGGGCCCAGGTATGATGCCTGAGGAGCAGTTCCCTGCTTCATGGCTAGTTTGCCTTGAGGAGACCAGCAAACCAGCTGACTCCTTTCCATGTGGGGCTATTCATTGGGGCCTTCTAGCATCGGATCTCCTGTTTGCTGGGGGGAGCAAAGCATGATTAAATTGCTCTATGATTTAGCTTACAAATGTGGCTAGAGAAGTGCTGTTCACTTTGCTTGCTGTGTAGGATTTATGCCTTCTTGCTTAGATACAGAGTCTTGTGCCATGCTGAAGACATGCTGTCTAACAAGACCTTGAGTTTCTAGAATATAACATGATGAAACTAATTTAAAATTTCCTCCCAGGTATCCTTTTCCTACTGCTTATTATCAAAACACTTGAAAATTTCTCACTCGCTCAGCTCCATGTTTCTTTATTTCTTTAGGCTGTGACCTGTCACTGAACCTGACATCTCAGAAAGCAGCAGATGCGGTGGATGATATCTTTCGGTCCCTCAGGGATATCACAAGAGCTCGAATGCACATGAAACAGTTTAATGCCATACATAATCCAGGCAGCAACACCCACCAGGCAAGTGGATCTTTCTTTTCCCTGTATATGTTATTTTCTCTAGCATGCTGTCAGAATCATAGCACTAATTTTGCTCATATGCTTTTCCTATATATGTTCTGCCCATGTGGAAAATATTTAAATACAGATTTTATAATTGACCTAATCATCAAGAACTTCCTCAAGTCCTTCATCCAAACTCAGGCATATCCACATCAATGTCAACAAAGAACTGTCTGAGGAAGAAATTTGGGATTTACTCTGCAGCACTGTGATATGACATAAATGCCTGTGAAAGGAAGGGCTAGGTCAAGATGATGCTGGACTAAGACCTCTCATGGTAGAGCAAAGCAGGATGCCTGCATCCATACTGCAGCTGTATTCCTGTGTGTTTTCTCTCCCATCTCTCTAAGTGTGAGAGGCAAGCCCATTTGTAAATAAGTGAAAAATGCAGCTATTGTTTCTATAATATGAGCACATGAGCTACGATGTTACTATAGGTAACATCATAGGTACGTCAGGACTAATATCCAGTGGTTTTCTCTCTTCTGTCTCCACCAAAGTGTTTTATTTTTTCAGTTAAAAATAGAGTTTTACAATGGAAAGCACATACAGTGATTTAGAGAGACACTGTAAAACTTGATTACAACCTTCAGCCAGAAAAAAATCCTTCCAAACTCACAAGTGTGGTGTGGACCAACAAAGGGAGGTAGTCCAAATTGAGCAATGCTTTGTAACAACAGGAATTGGGAGTGTTGCAAAAAGTTGCTGGAAAGCTAAGGTGGAGAAAACCTGTTACTGAAGTCTCCTGGCACTTACGACCGGTCTGGTGTCTGAAATGGGGAAAATTGTTAAAGGTTTAATACAGTTCTGGGGGAGGGCGGGGAAGGAGCAGTCGGATGATAAGAAAATACCCTCTAAAAGTTTCCTGGGAGTGTAATTAGCATCAGTATTTTCTTTGAATGTAACCCAGGCTGCGTGCTTAGGGCTAAGTGCTGGAACGCATCAAGGGATGTATCAACATCTTGCAGCCCCCTAATCTGGGTATGCGATGGATTTAATTGCTTGAATAGGACCAAGCTTCTGCTGAGGGCAGTTCAGGAGGTTTAGAGTAGCAGGACTAAGCAGGCAGTACAGGTTCTTCTCCACCATACATACAGCTCTCTACTAATGGACCCCTCTTTTGACTGGCAGGTGTTAATCCATGGGTTTAGCTCCTCTGAAGAAGTAGTGCCCTTCCCGTGGCCATAGGCATTCCCTCCCTGGCGTGGTGCTGTGGGAATGGGTTTAGCCTATAGGTGCTTTCCTGCTTTATCTGTTAGGAGCTGAGAAGCGTCCATTTCTTGTTAAGACCCAAAAATGTTTCTGTAGATAAGTGAGAATTGGATATCCTCTTAGAGCATTGAAGTTTGTCTTGCATAAAATGATGAGGGAATGTTCATCAGGTTATTGTGTAGCAACCATGCAAGAGGAGAGTATTTATTTTGCCTAATATTGTAACTACTGTTGTTTTCCTTTTATCTTGATCTCAAGTATATTTCTCCCTTCCTCTGACTCTCTTCCTCCTTCCCTCCTTCCATCCTTCCACCTCCTTTTCTCATTCTCAGTCTTTCTCTCTCTTTTTCTCCTTACAGTCTTGTCTGAGGTATGTCCCATAGCCATTGAGGCTTTTAACAACTGTTTTAAACACAGTTTGTGCCCCACCAAAATTTAAAGTTGATTAAAGCTTCATTACATGAGTTAGAAATCAATGCAGCTATTGAGGGTTGTATAAAAAAATAAAGTAAAAACTCCCTAAAAATGTAACAGATGAATTTCAAGTCATAAAAGATTTTGAAAATATTGGAAACCATCATAGCAAAAAAAAGGTAAGTGATCATAGTATCTGCCTTTCAGTATCTGTGTAGCCGAATTGGATCATTTTGAAGGGCACTGAGTTTTGGTGCTGAAAATTTAGACATGCAAAATCATAGGACATTTGTAACATCTTTTGTGTCCATAGTTTTGTCTGAAGTCTGATAATGTTTTTCCTTTCAATTCATGCAGTAAGCCTCTCTATTTAACTGTGATTTGATCTCTACTCCAAAAACATTTAATTCTTAATGTCTTTCTGTTCCTAATCTGTGAAGATATTAAACAGCTTTTTATACATAGGACTTAATGCCTGCATGTGTATTTTCAAACAGTTGTTTGTTGTGTGACTAGATTTGACACAAATCTTGGCATGTTCTCCTAAAAGATCCTGCAGCTCATTTCTGCTGTAATTTGCTTTGTTGACTCAATTAAAAATTATGCATGTGTTGTGAGAAGAACTGGATGAGTTGTATAAATCTTCGTTGACAGGGTTGTATTCAAAAACTGTAAGTTTTGTTTCTCCCTTTAAAGTGTTGGATGAAAAACATTTATTTAATTACTCCAGAAAATTTTAGTTTCAAGCCAAGCGGCTTGCTTTTTGTTTTCCATGCATTTTGTGTTTATATAGCATGATTTTCTCTTGTAGAAAATGAATAATGTTACACCTGATTCCCTTAAGAAATCTAGAAGATGATGTATACCTGGGCTAGTCCCAAAGGAAAACAAATTTGCTAATTTGAAAGCTGCTAATTTTCCAAGGCTGTTGTGCTTCCTGAAATGATTGTGGTTTCATTGCAGTTTGGGCAGAGTTGAAAGCAGTGAAACAAAACTCCATCTGTAAACCAAGTATGGTCGAATTTTCATTAAAGAGCATCTTTCCACAAGTCCCTAAAATTTTTATCTTAGAAGCTTTTTCAGGGTGGCAAAGTGGTTTAAACCTTGGTAAGGGAATGTGAAAATTTCTAGGCTACCAATTTATATTCAACACAGGTTTGTGGAACCTGAAGAGGATGCAGGGTGGATCCTTTGGAAGTGGATCTTCCAGGACGCTAAACACTTGTACCTTTACATGTTCCACTTTTCCTGGTCCCTAACTTCTCTGAAGATCTGACGTGCATGATGTTGGTGGGGTTGTTTGGCCTATTTTTGTCAAGGTTTTGTACAGGTGGAGGTATTCTGTAGAATGCCCTGGTCGTAGAAGCTGAAGGACTAACAGGGACTCCTTAGCTCTGCTCTCCCATGAGGGACAAACAGGCAGATTTGCCTCTTCCCATTCCTGGTGATAACCAGGCTTCAGTGCTGACGTGACATTTGTGGGAAGGCAGGAGCGGTCCAGTAAGCAACTCCACCTAAAAATCCTTGTTTAAGTGTTTGTAAAATCATTACAAAGGTAAGACACCCCCCTCTCTCTCCTAGTAGCCAATAGCATTTAGCCTGTGATGTAAGCAGGCGGAAGTGACGTAGTGAACCCACACCATATAGTACTGTGTCGCACAGCATTAAACGCCATTTGCAGCATCCTCATATTGGTGTCAGTGCTCATTGGCCCAGAGACGGGGTGTGTGTTTGTCTCTGTGCCTCCTCGACCGGACGGGACATTGCGGGATAACAACTGCAACAGCAACCCCACCTAAAAATCCTTGTTTAAGTGTTTGTAAAATCATTACAAAGGGAATGAGATCTTCTGGGTGCATGATGGGCAACAGAGTGTCATCTCTATTGCTATCCCTTTCTGTACTACCTCCAAAAAGATTCCAGAGAAACTAGAAGCCCCTGTTCTTACTTTCCTCCCTTTTCTCATATAATACACATGGAGCAGAGTAAATATGTGTCCATCTTCCTGTCTTTTCAGTTTGATGCTGTGCTGGTCCACACCATTTGTGGTCAAGGTCACAAAGACCACTGGTGCTCTGATAATTTTTTAACTCTCTGAAAGTGTTCCTTTCTAGGATAATTATTTTTGTTACCTTTAATGGAAATACAATATTTAGAAGAGCAGTTGCACCAAGTCTAAATAGCTTTGCTCACAGTGTGTTGTTCTTTTTGTGCAGGCTTCTTACAAACCGCTGCTGAAACAGGTAGTGGAAGAGATCTGTAATCCTGATCAACCTGATCCTGTTGATATTGAGCACATGTCATCAGGCCTCACTGATCTCCTTAAAACTGGATTCAGCATGTTCATGAAGGTAAACCAGGCTTCCCAAGCTCATCTGTAATATTTTCCTGAGATCAGAGCATCAGATGGCATCAGCTGATTTTATGTATTTGAGTTGATATTGTTCAGCAGAACTTAAGGGGCTGTTAGGAGAGGGAGATCCTTGCAGGAGGGCTGGGAATAGCTTGAGGCACCACATTGCAGGTACAGTACAGATGGGTAGCACCTCCTGAACAAAACAAGAGGAATGGAGCGGACTGGACACCTAAGTAAGGGTGATGCTAGACACCTAAATAAAGGTGATACATCTGGGCAGAGGCAATGTGGCTTTGCTAAAGGGAAGTCTTACCTCACATAGCTTTTGGAGCTCTTCAGAGACATCCAACAAGCAAACTGATAAACAAGTGCCAGCTCATATAACCTGCCTGGATGTCCAAAAGGCATTCTGCAAGGCACATCATCAAAGGATTTTAAGAACACTGAGCAGCCTTGAGATAGGTGAGAAGTACATATGAACAGTCAGGTCTCACAGGGAAAAAAGGTCATCAGAGGAGCTCCATATTCAGTGGCTTTTCTATAACTTGCTAAGGTTCAACTTGCGGTGGGGAGGAAGGAAGCCTATTAGTAAGAAATTACCTTGTGGATACTCTTAGCATGTTTTAAGACAGTATTTCTACAAGAGCTTACTCTGCTTTACAAATTAGGCTATGCTAAGTGTTCATTAAATGTCTACAGAGATGAAGTGTGGAGTAGCTAGCATGCTGTACATTCAGCTCTGCCTTACTGCATATCCTGAGTTCTCCACTGAAGAGTATTGTGTGAGAGTATGAAGGATGTTATGGCAATATGTACCTGTAAGCACCTGCATCTCTGCTAGTAAGAAAAATATCCCACTGTAAGGAATAGATAATAGGTGAGCAAGTGAACCTTAGGTAGGAAGAATATTTTGTAGGCATCATCACATTGCTCACAAATGTGTCTGTGCTTGCTCATTTAGTTTGTAGCCTGGCTTGTTGGCAAATGCTTGATTAATTATGTGAATGAGTTTCTGACCAGCCTGTATTTCTCAGACAAGAGGACCATCTCCACTTACTGCACTATCAGCACTGTAATTATTTCATGAGTTTCCTTATATTCATATTTCTTCCACAATGCCTTAATATAATTGCCAACTCACATAAACATGCTTTGGTAAGTGATGGACTCAGACATGTTCATCCAGGACAGACTTTTAAAGATACCTCTCATCCAAAAGTTGTTTCTCTGGTGGATGTGTTTGTTTTGAAGCTTAGGAAAGGTGAAGGGGAAAGGCCTCCCTACTGCTAGGATTTCTCTTTTGACTGCTGCTCTAGAACACACATGGTTTATGATGATCTGAGCTTAGCATCGTTGATAACAACTACCTTACATTGCAGTCTAGTTTCTGGTTGTTGGTGCTTTAAGAGCCGAAGCTGCAGGCGGCCTCAGCCTTGAGCAATTAATTCCTGACCTTGAGTGGAAAAATAAAACAAAGTGGAAAAAGAAGCAAGAATGTGTATGAAACAAGATAAGGATGACTTGTGAGCTGGGATTAGTAACCAGTCAGAAGTAAACGAATGGCTCATGAACAGGGGGATTTATCCAATTATGTCAATTGTTTGGGCGCGTGTGTGATAAGGGGCAACGAATCAGAAGTGAAAGAATGCCACGTGCTTGGGGCGTGCTGGAGGAAAAAAGGATATATAAGCAGTGCAAAGCTTCAATAAGGTGCTGATGACTGATGCCTGAAGACATCTTGGTGTTGGTCATTTCTTCATCCGCTGCATCTGGTGATCAATGTGTTTCCTTTTTCCCAGCTATTCAGCTACATTGATTGGTTTCTGGTTGGTCACAAATACCATATGCATTGGTGCCACTGTCCTGGTTGGCAGAGATAGCCCTCACGTGGCACTAGAAATTGTT